TCACATTTTATAGTTTACTGATGACTCTGTTAACCTGTCTCTTCTCAGCAGGGATGACCCTGACCATGGGCTGGTGGTCAGAGACTTCACTGAATGGCGTGAGTCTTCGTTTTTAAAGTTAAATGTTTCAAAGATGAAGAAGATGGCCATTGATTTTAGGAAAGACTCTTTGGTTGCCACTCGTGTGGTTATTAATGGTGAAGCTGTTGAGGTTGTGTACCAGTCTAAATATCTGGGAACTGTTCTGGTTAATAAACTGACTTTTGACGCTCATGTGGATTCACTTTGTAAGAAGGCCCATCAGAGGATGTATTTTTATCGGAAGCTCTGTGGTTTTGATGTTGATTCTACTTTTATGAGAATATTTTATTTATGTTTTATTGAGTCTCTTTTAAGTTTTACTTTAATCTGTTGGTTTGGAGTTTTAATATGTAAGAACAGGAACGAACTCTTGAGTATTGTTAGGATGTGCAGCAGAATTGCTGGTAAAACTCTGCCAAACTTCCCTGACCTGCACAAGGTGAGGTCAGTGAAAAAGGCCAGACTGATTCTGCCAGACCCTGATCACCCGCTCCATGGTGAGTTCAGGCTTCATAGAACTAATAGATTTAAAAACTAATTTATCCCTGCAGCAGTCAAGTTTCTTAATGAATATTTGTGATATTCTTTGTGTTTGTGTATGAATGTTTTATTTTTTATATATTTATTTATTTTTTGTCTGCTGATTTTGCAACAAATTACCCTTTGGGATATTAAAGATTCTTGAACTTGAATTTAAAGCACTTGTCTGATGGGATTTAAAAAGGTGCTATATAAGTTCAGGCCATTTACAATTTAATATGTTCTCTTACTGTAAAAACAGGAAAGTAAATGGTGAAAATGCTGCAAAACAGAGCTTTTACATGGCAAATTTCACTGATTTTTGGTTACTTGTGAACTCTGTGCACCTCTTCCTAATTGTAGGGGTTTCCTACCTCGATTTATGATTTCTGATGGACATAACTTGTTATGACTGTTTGGGAAAAGAGTCAGATATATTTTGCAGACTTCTGTTAAGGAACTTGCATGATCCTTTCTTCAAATTAACATATCAACTGGTATCATGGCGCCTCAGAAGAACATCAAAGGGTTGCATTCACACCTTCCAGCCAACCCCCAGAAGGACAAGCCTTGTCACTCTCTTCAAAAGGAAAGGTTGTTGTTAACAGTGCCTTGCCAGACTCCTCTCAGCATGACTAAGAACAAAGGATCCCACACCTTAAGTAAATAAAGAGGGAAGATTGACTACTCTGTTCTTTTTAACTGTTTGCCCACTAAGAAGAGTGTCATAAATGTGTATTTTGGTGTTAATTGTTTTGATGAAATGTTTTTCTGAAAAAGATGTTTCTTTAAACTGTGTGATTTCATGAATTAATCTTAGGAAACCTTAGATTTGAATTTAACTAGATAGACATTCTTATTTGAACTGATGTAAAGCAGATGCCTTCCCCTTTAATTAGATGCAAGATAATTAAGACTAAACCACTCCCATCCTTTGTCTGAAGAACCTTGTTTTTCCCGCCAGACATTTTGATTGGTTAAAAAACTTTACCAGAGTTTCAATTGGCTGGCTGGAAACCTTGACTCCGCCCATGACAGAGGTTTTAAAAGTTAATGCACCAGATGAAGCCAGTAGTTTTTAAGAAGAGAGAAAAAGTCACCAAAGAAGGAGGAAGAAGAAGCAGACAGAGAAGCAGCTTCTAAGCTGAAAGACCCCCTCTTGCCAAAGAGGGGGGTCTTTCAGTTAACCCCGCCATTTTGACTCGTAATAGTTCGACTCAGCCCCTGAGTTTTGATTTTAAAGGAGTCAAATAAGCTAATGGTAAATCAACATCGTTTAGTCCGTTTTTCTACAAAGTGAGAATCAAATTGAGTCTTGAAGCCACTTGTGGACAGCCAGACCAAGTCACCAGAGGAAGGACTCCTTCCTGACCCACGGGACCAGTCGAGTCAACCAGGCCGACCGCCTGACGTCGAGTTCGCATGGAGAGCTGTCTGGAGAACCAGCTCCAAAGACGGCCCCCCCACAGCTGACTTCAACCTCCTGGTACCCACGCGGCAGGATACAAAGGGAAAAGGTGATACTATGTCTTGGTTAAACATAGGTGCTCAGACATAAATTTGATTTTTACTTTTGTAAGAGATTTGGTAACTAAGCGTTTTTATCGACCTGAAATAAGCTAGGAAGCCTTAGTTAAAAACAACTAGAGCTAAACAGCTTATATAAACACCTCCCTCATTCAGAGCCCTAAACACTCCTCAGTGTTTAATTCTTGTTTACATGTTTGTTTGTTTTTGTCTGTCTGTTTGTCCATTAATTTGTGATAACAAAATCCCTCAGTTACCTGGTTCAAATATGCCATTATATACATTCATTGCTTGCCATAGATTGTAAATACATTTTAATCTGTAAATAAATGGCTTGTGGAGAACTTGCCAATTTGAACTAATCTCAATTTTTCTTTGTGTCTTGATGAGATATTCCGACCTTGATAAGAGAAGAACTCAATGGGGTAAACATTATTCTGAGACTGATTACAATAAAGTTACAGTTTTTCATTTCTTTCCTGGGTCAGTATCTGATCGAATTAAGAATGTGGTGCTCCGAGGTAATAATATAATTAAATATAGTATATGTAAATATAATATATTTAATTATATCCACAAATTATCTAGTTCAGAATTCTAAACTTTAAATTACCCTACATATTTATTGGTGCCTGCCGTATGAGGCTTGCTAGCCAGGATATCATTTTCCTATATAATGGTCGGATGTTATCATTTCGCTGGGAAATTGATATATATTATGGGAAATGCAGTTTATGAATGCTGGCTTTAAAGCAGCATATGCTTGGTTTAATACAGTTATACATCTATGAAGCTCTTTTAGGCCACATAAAATGGTGTGGGGGGTCAAACAATGTTCAATAAGTTGCCTTCAGGCCCAGGCCTCCCTTGAGAAAGAGATATGAGTTCTCAATGGGACTTTCCTGGTTAAATAACGGTAAATAAAAATAATAAAAATAAAATAATTTGGCCCACGGGCCTTGAATTTGGCTCTAAAGAAAATTGAAGGTTAAATGTCCCATTTTCAATGAAACTGTTGTATATTCTTCTCACTATATGGTGAAATTTTACAGGCACATTACTAAGTGCTGTGTGTTCCTTTTAGAAATGTTCGAAAATATTAGTCACATTGTTTTTAGCTAACTTGTTTTAGCACATAGTTTTAAGTTTTGCTGTTTCACAGGCATGGAGCATAATCTGTGTTTGCAGGGGCCTTGGCCCCAACTGAAATATGATTGTCTGGCCCTCTGAAATGCCCCTGCCCTCTCCCTCATCTCATTCCACTAGTACTAGTGGTGTTAATGAGTCAAGTCTTCTGTTTAAAAAAATGAGCAATGTAGAAAAAGTCTTTCAACTGACAAACGATGGTTGGATTTTCTCACATGATGTGTGTTTAAGAGTATTTTATTTCTGCACAGTAAAAATGCATGTAAAAGAATGGAGGTAAGGATAATTTACTGTGCAAGCTTTTTTATTACATTACAAGTGTTTGAACATGTGTGACTGGTTAAATGTATACATCTTACTAAAACTAAGGATTTGTGTGCAAGGATGTTGAACTAATACTTGGCCCCGCTATAAAAATTGTGGCCCCTTGATGGCCCCTTACTCAGACAAATCCTGGATACACCACTGTGTGGTTGGCTACAAACACTGAGCTTGAGACTGGGGCAGGGTTGCTTGGTCTCCTGAGGTGTGGCTCTTGGTTGCTGTAGGTGGCCCCCTGGCCGGGGTGGCTGCCGGGTTCCGGGAGGTGGACGGCTGGGGGGGGTGCACTTGGTCATTGGCAGTGTGGTGGGGTGGTCATGGGTGTGGCTTCTCTGCGGCGGGGGGGTGGGCGGGGGGCCTGGGGGGGGCCGGG